AGGCTAGGATTGCTGCAGAAAGATTGCAAACTTGTTTGTCCGAAGACCTTGAAAAAGTTCGTCAAGAACAGCAAACTTCCAATCAAAAGGTAAGCTGACAAATGGGGTGATTCATTGTGCTGCTATTTCTTCTTTTGGATAGTCAACTGAAACAAGATGGTTGTTTTTCTGCGTCTGTATGTTGTGTGCAGATAGCTTCACTCAACGACATGTACAAGAGATTACAGGAATACAATACTAGTTTGCAGCAGTATAACAGCAAGCTTCAAACGGAACTTTCTACGGCCAATGAGACCTTGAAACGTGTTGAGAGTGAGAAAGCTGCTGTAGCCGAAACCCTCAGCACGTTGAGGGGACAGTACAGCTCATTACAGGAGCAGTTGACTTCATCCAAGGTGAGTAAAGATACATGTTTCTGCTACTTATTCATTTCTAAGATCAGATAACGTTGTGCTCTATCCATATCGAAGCTATAGAAATTATGGTATTATAATCTACTATACTTCAGTCATTGACATATTTCAGTTGGAGTTCTGGCTTACTTCATATTGGCCCCTATATCCCTTTGATATAACATTATCCCCATATTTTTGTGTCCTCGGAGGCAAGAATAATGCCAGAATACTGCTTTCTTTTGTATGCAAAACTCTTAGACTGAAGATGACATTCTTATTATATTCTTGAAGCTTTATCTTTAGGATTCAATATTTTGCTGGGAACATGATTTAAACAATGGTTTGCCTCATTAAGTCATTTGTCAAATGCATGACTTGCTCTTCAGGGGCTCTAGCATTAAGGGGCTCACTGAATTGTCTTGAATTTATTATTATAACATAAGTATAATTGTTATAAATAGATTTGGTCTTACATTCTTAAATTATCACCTGAATATACTGTATTGACGTGCTGAGCTCTGGGTGGGATACTTATGTTTTGCTGACATAATTTAAAGATACACCTTTGGTTGTCTGTTCAACACTGAGTGATTGAGTGTAGATGGCAAGCATTCTGATGGTAAACCTGTCCATACGGAAGAAATTGTAGGATTGTTTGTTCCTCTATGTTTCAAAAATCACGTAGAGCTACTATTAACGTGCATAGATCTCCTAAAGCTCAGGGAGTCTTGATGTAATGTCATATTGTAGAGGTGACTCATTTGCACTTGCATGGATCATGTTAATAGGCATATCAAGAAGAGGCTGTCAAGCAAAAAGAGGCTTTAATTAATGAGGTGGGATGTCTAAGGACAGAGCTACAACAGGTTAGAGATGATCGTGATCGCCAATTATCACAAGTACAGACTTTGACAGATGAACTAAGCAAGTACAAAGACTTCACTGGCAGATCTGTTTCCGAGTTGGATTGCCTCACAGAGAAATCAAATGAATTAGAGGTCTATCATGCTAACACTTTGGCAGTTTGGCCACTTGCGAAATGCATCCCCCTCTCTGAGTTCTCACACTTTTATACTAATGTTTCCTAGCAGGCCAAGTGTTCGACGCAGAGTGACCTAGTCAGAACCTTACAAGATCAGTTAGCAGCTGCGCACAAAAAATTGCAGGTGATTAATCGCACTTTTTCTCTTCATCCAGTTCCATTGTAATCTGCTCTTGATGATACAATTGAATGATATGGCACTACTCGATAAAACAAGTGGATGATATGGCACTGCTCACAGTAATCTGATTTAACGTTATCATTTACATTTTGTCTATGTACTCTATCCTTACTCCCTGTGCAAAATTTCTGTATTCCCCCCTTTAAAAATTATGCTCTTTTGAGAGGGTACAGGAGGTCAAAATTATTTTTATTGAATGAATACTTTTTTGTGGCTTCAGATGAGTGATCTGTCTGCAACGGAGACAAGAAAGCAATATGAAGAGCAAAACATGATTATCTGTGATTTGCGGAATCGGTTGGAGGATGCGGAGGTGAAACTTGTCGAGGGAGAGAAATTGCGTAAAAAGTTGCACAATACTATATTGGTACAACCCATTTCATGAACAATTTTGCTGCCATTGTCAAAATGCAGGATCACTTATATCATTTTTATTTGCAGGAACTCAAGGGGAACATTCGTGTTTTTTGCCGAGTAAGGCCTTTATTACCTGATGAAGGTTCTAATACTGATACTAAAGTCATTGGTTTCCCCACCGCTACGGAAGCCTTGGGACGGGGAGTTGACTTGTTGCAAAATGGTATATTGAAGAATTATCTACAAAGTGTTCTTTTATGGTCTAATTGTTTTTCTTTGGTACCTAGACTAGATCCTGAATCATTTGTGCTTCTTGCTTTTACTTTTGTACGTAGGGCAAAAGCATTCCTTCATGTTTGATAAGGTATTTGTCCCTGATGCTTCTCAACAAGATGTATTTGTGGAGATCTCACAGCTTGTTCAGAGTGCACTTGATGGCTATAAGGTGAATATATACCTCTTATATCTACGATATATTTGATGTTCAAAGTCTTCCTTTGCTAAGATAAAATATTCTTGGTACCTCCTTTGTTCTTAAATATTAGTCCACAATAATTTGATGGTCTTTTTTAAGGTATTGAATTGAAATTCCACCTCTATCCTTTCACGAATTTTATATCTCCACTACGCCAATCTTGTCTCTTTAGAATCCTTAGTTAATTGTGTCATTACCACTTACCAGTAGTATCAATAAGTTCAAAGTAAAACTTATGAATACTGAAAAGTGGCTTTCTATTGGGATGGTGCAATGGCATTATGGCATTGTTTCCTAGTATATAGGAAGAGGATAGTTCTGATTGATTCCACAAAGATTTACAGTTGTCCGTGCTCCTATTTCAATGTTAACAAAATCTGTATTCTGGAATCCTTGTACCATGCACAATGGCTTCTCTCATGTTACTTCAATTTGCGATTTTGGAAATTTGTTAAATTATACTGAACTATATACTTGTGATATCCTTTTATTACTTCTAATTTCAGGTATGCATTTTTGCCTACGGTCAAACTGGCTCAGGCAAAACATTTACCATGATGGGTAATCCTGGAAACCCAGATAGAAAGGGATTGATTCCTCGATCATTAGAGCAGATATTTGAAACAAGACAGTCATTGAAAGCGCAAGGCTGGAAATATGATTTGCAGGTGAATAATGAATCTCTCTGCTACATCTATGCTTGACATCATTATTTTTTTCCACAAAGTAGGCATAAAGGTGAAGTACTGTCATTTTTGGATCACCAAGATGTATTCCTTATTTTACTCTTCTCATTGTAGGTGTCCATGTTGGAAATCTATAATGAAACCATCCGTGATTTGTTGTCTCCACATAAATCAAACTCATTTGATAATGGCACTCCTGGAAAACAATACACTATCAAACATGATGCAAATGGCAACACACACGTCTCTGATCTTACCCTAGTTGATGTTCGAAGCTCTAAAGAAGTTGCATATTTGTTGGATAAGGCTGCCCAAAGCAGGTAACTATCTTTTTTATGCTAAATCAGTGCATAATTATTTTACCATAAGCATTTTATTTCTCCTCTTCCACAATGCTTTACTGTAATTAAAAACGGAAGAAGTGAAAAAAATGTGTTACGAAAGTGAGGAGTACAAAGTTTTTCATCTTACCTACCCTAAAAAAAAATGTCAAAAGCTTTTTATGAAGTTTCACTCTCATTGTCGTGGAGAATGGTTTGAAGTTTTTGAGCTATATTGTATGTGGTTTCTTGCAGGTCAGTGGGCAAGACGCTGATGAATGAACAATCATCACGTAGTCACTTTGTTTTCACGTTACGTATCTCTGGTGTCAATGAGGTATTTAAGATTTTACAATAGCCCAAATTTTATCATATTGTTGAAGTGTTTAGCAGATTTACAGATTAAGATCTTTATTAATTGTGCACTTTCTTAATTTCCTTAGAGCACTGAGCAACAAGTACAAGGTGTACTTAACTTGATTGACCTTGCCGGAAGTGAACGTCTTTCAAAGAGTGGGTCTACTGGAGATCGATTGAAGGAAACTCAGGTATTGCATTACTTTCTTATTTGGAATTGAAGTTATTGATTCATACTTGGTTTGCATCTCAAAACAATATGGTTTTATTCTCTATTTATCAGGCCATTAATAAAAGCTTATCCTCTCTAAGTGATGTCATATTCGCTTTGGCAAAAAGGGAAGATCATGTGCCATTTAGAAACTCCAAACTGACTTATCTCCTACAGGTATGTGTTCTGTATCTTTTGTCACATAAAACATAGGTAGTGTAATATACCGATACTATATTATTTGTTAGATTGAATGCCAAAATGCGACAAGGAATGTTGAATGTAGTTGGGATGCAAAGATGTTGCTTAAGTTTAAATTCTTGTACGAATAAGGCATTCAGTAATGATTATGATGATTGAATATTTTTGTCTAATACGTAGTATAAATTCAATGAATGGTGTTTTGATTATCATTTGCTCAATTGTGGAATAGCCTTGCCTTGGTGGGGACTCGAAGACCTTGATGTTTGTTAACATCTCTCCTGAAAACTCCTCGTTGGGAGAGTCGTTGTGTTCGCTCCGATTTGCAGCCCGAGTTAATGCTTGTGAGATTGGAATTCCCCGGCGACAAACCAATATGCGGTCCTCAGATTCTCGTCTGAGCTATGGTTAATCTTCTGATCAAGATCAGCTTTGTTTCCTGTGATACAGCAGGTTGTGCATTTTGTATTTTGCGTTGCTAATCTTCACCCTCTGAAGCATAAAATAAAGACTAGAAGAGCAGGGAAGAACAAGGAAAGAAACATCAATCGATAATTCTAACTTAGGTGAGAAATGATTTTGTATAGTAGTTAGTATAAATGGAAATGTTGAATATGTAATTTCTGAAATTGGGCTTCTGCTCAGTTGGATGTATTAATCATCTTTTTAAACGTTACACTGAGGTTGATGTTTATTTTTTCTCCTCATGTGTATTTATAATTTTAATACTTATGTGAATCTGTTTGTATTTTTACTCGAACCACGGATAAATATATATCAGTGATCTCTATCTTGCTTAGTACTTGTATGATCGTGTCTTTGTTCTGTTCATTTCTCGGAAATTACTTGTACAATTACAGGACAAAGAAGAATGGAAGAAAAGTATCTGCAGAGTTGAGTTATGCAAATCTATCCATCACCTCTTGCAGGATGACTGTTGTGTCGTCGTAAGTAGATCGTGTTTGAGCAAGGTCCTTCAGTTTTATAGCTTCTTGAATCTGCCAACATATTGATGAATCATAAATCTGTAATTAGAATAAAATTGACAGTTGAGTTATGATTCTGTTTGGTTGGATGTGTTGCTGTGTTTAAATCATTTTCACCAAACCAAACTAAGCATTTATCTTGATGTTTAATCTATGTTGTTTACCTTTTCGAAATTGTTGAAGAGTCGGTTTGCAAGATCTGTGAGAGGCTGTTTATCATCAACAGGTGCAGCAGAGATGACCTTGTCGAAATCATAGTACATGAAAGTGCCCTTAAGACGGAGGTACTTTCGGACGTAGTTCAAAGTATCTTGGCCTATTAAATCTCCCAAAGCCATGAGATCAAAGGCATATTTCCCAAGCCTATATGCACTTCCTTTTGTTCCAATGTTAGCCATGTAGAGTCCCTTCTTCAGAAATGACCTTGTTCCTGTTTCCTCATTGGCGATTTCTGCAATAATGCACAACCAAGTTGGTTTTGATTAAACCCGACAAATAAGCCAATACATTCTTTTGTGTAAAGAAGACGGGACACATCTATTACATTGTCACAACTCCTCTTAATCATGATGACACGATTTTATATGACAGAAACTTTAAATTAGTTTAGCCCGTTATATTATATGCTCATCACTAAGTGACATTTTGGAAAATTTAAGCCCAAACTACTTTTCAGAAAATGTGACATTTTTCATCAAATATACGAAGCATTAAAATAATATATGTGACTAATAATTCATGATATAAAAAAATAAAAAAGAAATTTGAACAATCGAATCTAGTTCGGAACTTCACTAGCTACATCTAAATCGACATTGATAAAATACAAGCTGCAATGAACCTGCTTGAAACTGGCTTAAATTGACATATTTTTTTTCTTAGTCACTATCATATACAGCTTGAACTCACCATATAATTATTGATTTATGTTCTTAGCTGAATTGTTTGAATTTCTGAGTCTATTTGACGTCAATTTTTAATTAAACCAAATAATCAACTAGTCATATTTTTATATATTTTGATTAGGTACTAATTAGTCATTGTCTAAGAAGATCATGATTCTGCTTCTTAAACAAATGTTTAGCTCTTCTTAAAAAACATTATCTTGGATTATGTCTTAGCTGAATTTCAAATTCTTTACATTTGTACATAGCTTATATGGGGCTAAGTAAGTCATAGCCAATCATCGAAATTTGATAAATATATAATCCAATCTCGAGTCTTTATTTTAAAATTTCTCACTATACAGTCAGAATACTTTCACATGTCCCTAAATATAAACAATATAGAAAATGAACAATCTTAAAGGCCAATACTTACTATTTTCGGCCGGACGTAATCCGGGAAGAGGGTAATCGAGCCACAACCGATTTTCTTCCTCAGCCAAAGAAGCATTATTAGTACCAAGTTGTGTAAAAAGAGCAATAGAAGCAATGCTAATAACAGACCTTCTTGAAGTATTTTGATGAAAATCCTCTATTTTTTTGGCATGACAAATTATGTTGCATGATTTTTTAGTAGGTGCCCTTAAATTGTAGGGAACGTTAGGAATGGCTGCTGGTAAACTTTCTGTGATACCATATAAGTTTCCCAATTGAGCCATGAGGTTTGAGGATTTTTTAGTAGTGTATGAAGATTAGATGAAGTGGATGTAATTCAATCATCTTTGGACATTATTTTTTTCAAGTTTGTGAAGTTTTGGATGAGTTATTGTGTATTATTGACCACCCAAATTGATATACTTATTGAGGGTAGCTTAGTAAATTTCTTTTCAATATTTCATTTTTTTCTTTTCAAATTAATGGGTTATTTTATTTTTAACACAGGAAAATGTATTTAAAGGTATGGTGATTATAATAAAAGCATTGTTTTGTGGTAGTCTCTATAAAATTTGGAGCTAACTGTGATGGGTTCGGAATTTGAGAGAAATTTAATAACACTATTAGACTTCCGATGTATAGGGGTAAAAAAAAAAAGATATATATGATGTACGAATCTCATGTATTGGAACAAAACTGATGACTAATCGAATCGGGGCTAAACTCATCTTAACTCCCAATTCTCAAATTAAACCTAATATATTAAAATGGAATTTACTGGATAGCTTAATTGTAAATTATTGTATCATTTCATAAGTCAAACAATCACCATCTCATCTAAAGTCTTCTTATGACGCTACATCTTAAACGCTTACACGTAAAGGGCATTGCTCATCATCAGCTTGTAGCATTTAGATATTGTCATCAAGGTTAATCATAAAAATAGCCAATTAAATTATTAATTAATTGATTATGAAAAGTAGCCTTATATTTTAAATACCCTTTTTCTAGTGCTGACAACTGAAACCTATAAAACACAAAATCACTCACAAAATTAAAGCTTAAAGTAAACAAATGGTAGCAAACATAATAGATTATTTATTAATTTAGGATACTTCCCATTCATTTGGTCATTTGGAAAAATGGATTAGTGATGTAAAACACTAATTATGTCAGTGGAGAAAAAAATAATGGTCACATCAAATTTCCAAATGTAGAGATTACTTATGCATTAACTACTTAGTTGATGTATTTGACAAATGATTAGAGTTTGATTACCTGACAAAGTTTTATAATATGAAAAAAGCCATGAATGAGTTTAATTTTACACTATAGTTTTGGTACACTTTAGGTAAATGTCATTGTAGCCTTTGTAGGTAAATAATACGAAGCACATGCATATGATCATTAAGTGTGTTAAGTTTGGTCGGATCCAAAATTGTAGGTTCCTAGCTAATTTAATCCAGCTTCGACGATTAGAGATTAATTATCTACACTTAAAAAAAAAAAAAAAAAAAAACTCCGATATTTTGAATTCGAAAGATGAATCAATCCGTTAAAAAATTGTGGTATGAATGTAGAGGTAGATTATATTTTACTATGGCTAATTTGATAATGTAGCAAAGAAGATGGGAGTAAAGGCCTTGCTAACCTTTTTGATGATGAGGGAGTGACTAATGAGTAGTGATAGAACAAAGTCTACTACAAGAGGGGGTGAATTGTAGACTATAGAAAATTTTGCGGAATTAAACTATCTACTAAGAGAGAAGACACTCGAGATAGGCAATGAATAATTTCACTATGTAAAGATGAATTACAATCGCTAATATTCTGCCTAGACTCAAGTTCCGTGAGGAACTCAAGTTACCCAACTACGATCCCTCAATCGCAGTTCCTCTCTCTTTGTGATTCTACTCCGAATCATTTGTACAGTATGAAGAACTCTCTCAAGCCTCACACTTTACAACTCTCACAAACCCCAATCCCAATTACAAAGTAATTACAAGGATTTCCCTAATGCACTCAAGAAACTTAAGGATGGAAGGAACTCGACTTTGAAAACACTTAGAAACTCTTATGCTCAGAATACTCAAATTATTTTCCACACATTCAAAAAGCCACGTTGATATATTTTTATAGGGAGATTATCCAATCTTCCATCATGTTCCCACTTCCCCCTCAATCCCACGTTCACCTATACTGGGAAGTTGGGATGTAAGTGGAGGAAGTTGAGAAACATGATTTCACTAACTTGACTCCCAAGTCCAACGTGCATCCTGTTTTTAAGCAAACAAAATTTTACCAAGTCAAAATCAGTTCAAAGATTTATTTAAAAAGATAATTATTTATTAATTAAAAAGATTTTGGTTTGACATAATTATTTATTAATTAAATTCAGTTCAAAGCACTGCCATAATGGTTTAACAGTTCGATTTTGGTTCGGTTTGAAACAAGTTGGTTTGAAATTGGTTTAATTGGCTGACGGGTCGGTTTCGATTCGGTTAAAATTATTATCGGTTCGTTTCGGTTTATTTTTGGTCGTTTAAATTCGATTTGGCTCGTAAACGGTTCGGTGCAAATGGGTTGCAGTTTGTAAATGGTTTCGGGTTAGAAACGGGTCAGGTTATCAATGGTTCAGTTTTTTCCGGTTTGATTCTATTTCAGTTTGGTTTAGAATTAGTTCGGTCCGTTAATGGGTTCAGTTCTTAAACGGTTTAACATTTATGTGGATTGGTTCGGCTTCAATATACGGTACGGGTCGGTTTTCGGTTTCAAAATAAAAAATCATTTCTTAATCAGTTCGGTTCTCATTTAGATCGGTCGATTTCGGGCAGTTAAACGGTTTCGGTTTGAAATTCAAAAAAAAAAATCTTGTTAAAGACATACACAAGTACACAAATATTTTGTTTTTCAAGCTAGAATTGGAGTTTCTTTTGCAATTGATAAATTGATTAATAATATTCTTTATTATAATGTTTGTATTGACTTTAATTTGTTTTTGAAAGATCAAATAATGCAATCTCATTCTAAAAAATTCGAGAATTACAACAATACATCATAAGAATATAATTCTGGACAATATATGAAGCACTTAGATGATGTTGTTTAAAGAGAAGACGGAGATTATTTTTTCTTAAGTCATAATTACATACAAAAAAGTTAGTAAAAACAATAATGTACTTCGTAGTAAACATGTGTGCATAATTAGATTTCATTTAAAATTTCATTTACCGTGATTTAAACTTTGCTTTATAGTAAGCGGTTTGTAAACGATTCGGTTTATAAGCGGTTTGGTTCATAAACGGTTCGTTTGGTAAGTGGTTCGGTTTCTAAACGCTTAGGTGCAAACGGGTTGCGGTTTGTTAACGGTTTGGTGTAAACGGTTCTAAACTCGGTTCAAACGGTTTCGTGTTAGAAACGGTTCGATTCTTTCTCGGTTCAAATTTATTTCAGTTTGGTTTAGAACTGGTTCAGTTCATTAACGGGTTCAGTTCTTATATGGTTTAACATTATTCGGTTCGGTTCAGTTTTGGGTTTACTAAAATACGATTCAGGTCGTTTTCGATTTTTTTTATAAAATTGATTTTTAATCGGTTTGGTTCTCATTTAATTTGGATCGGTTGGTTTCGAGCAGTTAAACGATTTCGATTTGACATTTTACAGTGCTACTAATGAGGCTGTAATGGACAAGCTTATAGGAGTTAACCCACGAGAGTTGTGGAACAGGCTTGTAGCTTTTATCCAACCCAGTCTAGTTGTGCATGTCTATTGATATACTCCCTCTATCAAATGTTCCATACTTGTCACATTGATATCGTAATTTAAATTGACAGTGTGACAATTGAATGAAAACGGAGATTATTATATGTGCAACATTCCAACAAAAAAATTATGTTTAAAAAGAAAAAGAAATGTTTACATTTATTTGAATCTCAGTATAGAGTTGTTTAGCTCATGTCCCGTCTTTATAAATGATTGAGTATTCTTACCTTGTAAATCAATTTCCAATTTATCAACACTCTGATCACCCTTTCTCATCAAAATACTCAAATTCTATTAAGACATTCAATTAGTCTTTATAAGGGCTACTCAAGTTTGACTGTTATAAGTAAGCTATTCTTATCACTCAATTTTAGATATAGCGTTAATATCGAACTCAAATCATTACTAGCTTAGGTAAGGAAATGTGACAACTTTTTCTACTCATGTGTTTATGTATGAGTACTGAAAATGTGTACTCCGTATGATGTTTCATGTATACATCTATCACTACGTGTAATAAACCTAAAACATATGAACCCACTAAACTAGTATTGTCACATATATGAGGAGGAGCTCCTTTTAAAGATTGATGGTGATTAGACAAATAAACACACCAGCTAAAAAAAGGATGGTTTTCAAAGGACAAATAAAATCTTCAAGGGTCAATTACATAGAAGAATATATAAGATAGCTCCATGTAAATAAAGGATCATATCAAAAGAAGTTCCCCATTACAGGTCTTTTCAATTCTAAGTAAATTCTTTCAACGTAATTTCAACTTTATAGGACTGTTTAGGTTTGGTTTGGATAATTTTTTTTTTTTTCTTGGAATTATTAACAATAATTTCTATTGAAAATTGTAATCTTGCTTGAGCTAGATCAACATATTCTAGATATTTTAATGAAGGCTAAACATAAAAGAATCGTGAATTTTACTAATTAATACTTCGTATATATAGTAAGATTAGACAACTAATATAATCAATGGTTTAGATTTAACATATTGACGTATTCGGCCATAGTCAACCGTAGTCAACAACTACAATAGAAGCATCTGATAGTTTGATCATAAAGTCAAATTAACATGAATGTTTCCAAACTTCACTTGTTTTTTTAAGAATAATCTCAACTTTTAATTGACTAAAAATAATCTAATGTTGAAACTAAGGTTTGCTTTTTTAAAAACTAGTTTTAAGTAACATTTAAATTGAAAAAACTATCTCCCTCTCTCTCTCATCAACGTGCCACCTCCACAACCATGCACAACCACTAATCAAGGCCTCAAGAGTAATGGTTTTTTAACTTGGAGAAATTTAATTTGTTGGTTTCTTGGTTACTTTAGAATACTTTGAGACAACAATATACCAATATAATATAAAATTAGTTTTTGTAAATTGAAAGTGTGATTAGGCTTGTTTAATAATTTAAAAACAGCTAAAGAGATCCAAATTATCGATAGAGAAATCGGCAAAGGAAGGCAACCACTACAAAATTAAGTCAATATAACAACTAAAATTTGTTGCTATTCACCAAAAATTCGTTGTCAACTCTAGTTAGCAATGGGTTGGAAATGAAAATTTGTTGTTGCTAAAAGGCTCATTGCCATGAAATTTTGGCTACCAGTTGCAAAACAATTTTGTTGCAATATTGCATTCATTTAAATATAGTTTCCATGATGGTTGTTGTTCTTGGTGCATGCGTTGCCAACTTTGGCAACAAATTACCATTGGTTGTTGCTAAAAGTAGCAACAAATTATTAAT